ATAATTCTTACTTAATTTAATAGTTCTTGAGCAGAAAACACAATAAAAGTTGATGTAATATTAAATTTTTTTTTTTAATGATTTTGCTATTTAAAAAAAAAAAATTGTTTTGCAAAGCTTTAATTTTATTATTTTAAAATTTTTGTAGTTTATTTTGTAGAGTAATAAATGATTTATTCATTAAAATTTTTAATTTCTCAGGATTTATAGAGACAGTTCTCGTTAAAGATTATCATCAAAGACCCTACACGGAAAATTTACTTAAACATCCCTTTATTAGAGATCAGCCAACTGAACGACAAGTTAGAATTCAGTTAAAAGACCATATAGACAGATGCAAAAAAAGAAAACAAGAAAAAGGTTAGTGTTTGTTTGAAATTTTAAAATACAAGTGAAATTTATTTATATGATAAAATATTAAGAACCTTTTCAGTTTAAATCAGATAAGAATTTTATTATTGTTATAATAATGAATTTTTGAAAATAAAAAATTGTTTAGAACGCGATGATTACCGCTATAGTGGATCTGAAAATGAAGAAGAAGAACCGGCTCTTGCTGGGGAACCATCATCAATTGTACAAGCTCCTGGTGATAATACTTTAAGAAGGAATTTCCAACAAATTCAAGAAGGTAGAACTTTAACTCAACATGAAGAAAAACAAGAAGGAAAAAAATTTAGAAAATCTGATAGGGAGGAAATTCCAGAACCTGGGCCGCCTTCAAGACCACTATTGCCTCAAAGAATCATCGGTATGATTATTTATTTTACATCCGTCGATTAGTAATTAAATTTTTTTTTTTTTTTTCAATTACTTACTACAGTTGTTCCAGAGCCAATGCCTCCATCTCGACCATTGCCTCCTCCTCCTAGAGATCAAAATAAGCCATCCACGCCACCAATACAGTCTCAAAGTGGAGGACTCTCTTCAGCAAACCAACAAAGGAATTCTCACGTTTTCAAACCCATGGTGAGATTACATTGAAGAATTTTATAAGTTTTATATTTATATACATATAACTTGATAAATTTGTCTAAAATATCTGAAAAAATGTTTTTTTTTCATGGCACATCAGCTTCCGCCAAGAAGACCTGAGGTAAGTCTTTTGAGCAATTTATTAATTTCCACATATACTCCTTACTAACGTTAGGTATCATGTAAGTTTTTGGAAGTTGATTTTAGTAATTATTATTTATTTATAAATTATTACTACACTAAAATTTTTATAAATAGGAACATGATAAAACCCACTTTTACGAAAGAAACAAAAGTTTATTAACTTAATAATAATCTTGAATTATTAAACAGGATTTGGATATGATTGCTGCTCAACTTAACGAATTGGGTGTTCAGCAAGATCAGCGTCCCGCTCGGCAAAATGGCAAAAGTAACTCACAACAAATAATGCCAACAAGCAATAGTTCTATATTAGATCCCGTCGACAGCGATAGTGAACCTGATGACCTAATAAGAAATGACGGCACTTTATTGGCTAGCGAACCCGCAAAACCTTTGTAAGATAATTTCTTTCCGATGAATTTTTTTTTTTTTTTTTTTTTTTCTTTTAAAAATTTATTTAAAAAATTTTTTTCTCTCTATACAAAAATTCAAATATGTAAATACAGGATGGAATTTTCTCCCTACAGACCTTCAGACATTAATCACAGTTCTTCTAGTTACGAAGGTTAGTTAAATTTTTCTCAATTAATAAAAAAATTATTTACCTTGTTTCTTTTCATGTGATTTTTACTTAAAATTTTTTTTGTTTTAGGGCCGACATCAAGCAATAATTGCGCAGCACCAAATAGACCTTTGCCACCTACTCCTGATGATGAAGAAGCAGGAGATAAAACTTTGGTTATGAGAAAGGTTAGTGACGAAATCATAATAATTTTATTATAACATTTTTTTCGTTTTTTTTTTTTTTTTTTCTTTTTCTGCTTCTGGTGCAACATAATATTTGGCACATTACAATTTTTCTATTACAAATTTATTTTAAAAGAAAACTATTTTAATGTATTAGACAAGGTGTTTATGTGCTCATACGTTTCTCGGTTAAAATTCTTACAATTTTTTTAGTTTTTAATATTATTTCTTCTCTAACAAATTTTAATTACTTTTTATTATTTTATTTTATTTTATTTTATTTTTTTTTTTCTACATTTTTTTATAATTTTTTTTTACAATTTAGAAATTGGAACAGGGGGGAAAAAAATTAAATTTAGATGCAAAGAATGAAAAAAAAAAATTAGGTAAATTAGATTTAAATGAACGGGAATTACTCAAAGAATGGGATCTCGAAGAAATATTCGAAGGATTCAACGATCGTCTTCGCAGCATAGAATTAGATTCAAACGTTATAGAATCCAAACCAAAATATAATGGTATTTTCGATATCGGACTAAATAATAAAATCTCAAAGAACGTAAGTGAAAAAGTAGTTAATAAAACAATGGACGCTTCTTCATTTCAAGAATCACAAAATCTCGTTAAAGACGTACCCAATTTTCCTTTACGACCACGATATTCGGCCGCATTTCTCGACAATAATCCCATTTCTATTAAAACGAATGGGCCTTCGGTAAAAAATCGTCGTAGCTCAGAAACGACTGTTTTTTTGTTAAAAAAGGATTTGGATACGATTCATACTTCATTATCGAAAAATTCGGACAAAAAAGTTTCTAACGATGAAACAAAGGAGGAAACCTATGTTAAAATATCTGATTTTACGAGCAATTTTAAAAACGTTAATATTATGTCACCTTCAAGACCCAGGCGTGAAAAAACAGACGGAGAAATAATTGTGAAATTGAGTAACGAAAGAAAAACAGAATTAAAAAATTTAGGTTTAGTTCAAAATTTAAAAATAAAGGAATTGGAAATGTCGAATTCGGCGTTGTTGGAGAAAGAAAAATTAAATGATGGAAATAATGTGTATGAGACAATCTTACGTACTTTTAGTTTCAGTGATCTACAATCTGAGGTTAGTTTTTAATTTCCACCTTAAACTGTTACTTGTAGGTTGTTTAGAAAGTAATTTCATTTTTTCTTTTAAACTTTATATTCGGTATGCTTATATTACTTTTCTAAGATTTAAATCATTTTCTTTGTAGTGAAAACTATCTTTCATAAATTCACTTTAATTTTTTATGAGTTCCTTCAAGTTACCAAATTACTGAGTCATTTTTTCATTATTTCATTTGTGCATCTTCAATTTTTACAGGAGATGATAAAAAATTTCAAATAAATTTTAAATTAGTATTTATAAATGGGTAAAAATATAAGAGTAGATTAATTTTTTAAGTAATATTAAAATTAATAATTTATTTTTCTTGTGAATTTTAAAAAAAGTTTTTCTTTATTTAGTTACTTATATTTATTTTAATTATAAGCATATATAAAAATGTATTTGTAAGGGTATTTGGTGTGGGTTTAAAATTAAATTACTTTCTAAACTACAAAAATAAAATATATATTTTCATTTTGATTCTTCTTTACATGGCAACTATTTGCTTTTTGATATTTGAATTGTGTCATAGGATATTTTTTGACACTCGTGTTTTTTCTTCTATTTAATAATTTGACGCTCCACAATAATTTTCTTATATATTTATTCATTTTAAATTATTTTGTCTTAAAACTATTCTGTAATTCTTACTTGCTTTTTACTTTAAATAATTATCTTAAAAAAAAAAAAAAAACTTGTCTTCAAAGTGTTTCAAATTTAAAATTGGAAAGAAAATTTTTTTTTTTGTGTGTCTGTCTGTCTGTCTTATAATTTAAATTAATATTTTCATATTTATGCATATGCTATTGAATTTTACTCATATTCTTTTGTTAATTTTTTAAATAAATAATTATTTGTCAACCTGTGTTTAAAAAAAAAAAAAAAAAAAAAAATGTATTTTAGTGCCTTTTTGGGTCACTGAAACTAAAGAGCTTATTTTTTTTATTTGTCTGAATTTTTGACAACTTTATAAAAATAATAACTCAAAAAGTTTTTTTTAAAAATGTTTTTAATGATTGTGAAATTATTTTATTTAATTAAGGCATGTAGCACGTTAATTTTTGAAAATAAGTTTTTTTTTTTTTTTTTGTATCGATAATGCATTTAATTTGAATTTAATCACGTTTATTGTGTGTTAAATTTTCATATATATATGTATATATATTTAACACGCTATCTTCCATTATTCAAATTTATTCTTTGTTTATAATTAAAGAAAATTTAATAATAAAAAAATACTACTATTTTATTTTTAAATAGAAACAAAAAGTTTTTAATATTGAAAATTATAACATTGTCTGTGTTTTTTTTTTTTTTTATTTGAACGTTTTTAATTAATTTAATCATAAAAATTGTAAATGGGGTAAAATTAATTTTTTTATTTTCATTTACAATTTATTATTTATGTATTTATTATTAATTTTTATCATTAATGTAAAAATCATTATCTTAATAATTATTATTGTTTTAATTTATTTTATTTTTTCTAATGAATAAGTTAAATGAATGTATATAATTATTAACAGACAACAACAACAACAAAAAAATATTGAAATAATTTGAATGTTTAACCATTTTGCAATTATATTTAATTTTTTTTTTTTTTTATAAAATGTTTTGAACTATTGAATGATTAATTGCAATATGAGCTAAATGTAATTAATTTTATTTACGGTTTTATAAAATATGTCAGATAATAATAATATGATTATTGAAATGAAAAAAAAAAAAAAAAAAAAAAAATCTTTCTTTCTTTTTTAATTAGAAAATAGTTTGAAAATTATTAACATTTTTATTAAATATGTATAATAATACATTTATTGTTTTTATAGTTAATATTATTAAATTATGTAACGTATATATTATTATTATCATTCTAGGTAATTTTTTTTTTTTTTTGTTAAATTATGGGAATTTAATGTAGCAAAATGATTTTTTTTTTTTTTTACTCAAAACTTATTATTATGTAATTATTAAATATTTTCTTATACTTTTTCAGACTCGGGACGAACGACGAAACGATTTTCACAGAATAGATTCATCTCCTGGGCAAATGGCAACACCAGGTTCTAGAAGTTCTGTTCTTCCTGATTTATTGACTCAGGTTTGTAACAAAAAAATAAATAAGGTCATCTTATTGAAAAATCTAATAATTTTCTTTGCTCCCGATTTTAAAAATTAATTTCAATTTAAAAATTTTTTTTTAGGCATCTTCTAGCCCAGGAACTTCGAATCAAAGACAAGATAAATCTACAAGCGAAGAGGTGAGTATTATTTATTTTGTTATAATTTTCAATTTATAATAATAATTAAAACAAATTAAAATGTAATTATGAACCAAAAAAAAAAAAAAAATCCTATTTACTCGTTGCGGTCTTAACATTATTAGTAAATGTAAAAATAAAAAAAATTTTTTAATTCAATAGCTACCTTGCGATATTGGATCAATGGTGAGTTAGTATTGTGATCCTTGTATTTAATTACCAACAAACACCAATAATTTTTTTTTTAATTACAATAAGTTCGAGAGAGGTTAGTTTTAATAAAAGTTTGACGATTTTATAACTATTATATAGGAGGTTGATTGAGAGTAACAATCGAATAAAAAAAAATTTGATGGTTAACAATAATTTTAACTTTTTTTTTTCGCGAGAGTAGCCAAGTTAAAGAAAAATTTAATTAAATAAATACCTTATTAAGTGTAATAAAATATTAATAACAATAATTGTAATTTTTGCTAATTATTGTTTTTGTTTGCTGTGACTACTAACCGTGGCTGACTGGATCTGATGGCTTGTTTAAACGGTTCACCTGAGGGTCAACTTTTTATACAAGGTAAGTAAAAGTGATGATTAAACTAACGTTTATTTTTTTTTTTTTTCTTCGTAGGAACCCTATTAAATCTGTCTTGTCTCAACCTGATAATATAAATCAAGTTGAAATAAATTAAAGTGTTAGCTCAAATATTAATAATAATAACTAGTTTCACTTTAGATTTATTTCGATTTAAAAATGTTAAATTTTAATATTATAATTTAATTAGTCTATAAATTTAGTGTGTACGACTCTTGGGTATAGATTAATAATTTTGTTTTTTTTATAATTTTTTCTTTGTCAGTATCGTCAGGCCGTCAAGTCACAATTGTATCCTCTTCAACAGAAACAAAGATCATTTTTGACTTTTGGCTTTGGAGCCGGTGGTTCTGGACCGACCAGGAGAGAAAGTCACGTCAACGTTAACGTCACTCCCACATCCCATGACATCGGGTCCGACACTCCAGAAATACGAAAGTACAAGAAACGTTTCAACAGTGAAATATTATGCGCTGCCTTATGGGGTAAATAATTTTTACATTTTATATTGTTTAATTAAATTGTTTTTTTTTTTTTTAAATGATTACATTAAAATCATGTTCATCTTAATTTCATATTAGACTCGACAAAATATTTATTATGGTGCATGCACGTCGTTGAGTTAAATATTTCATAACGTTCTTATCAAAGCCAATTACAAAAATTTAATTAAACATCCAAACTACAGTTTAAAAAAAAAAAAAAAAAAAAAAAATTATAAGAAAAGGTTTGTTTTGGATTATTTATATATATATATATATATACTTTTTAAATAATGGATATAATAAAACGTTAATTACGCAGTTTTTTTTTTTTTTTTTTTTTTAATTGTATATATAACAAAAATAAAAATGCGTATTTAATACCGATTTTGGAAAAATAAAATTTTGTCATGATTCAGCAAAAGAAGCTTTTTATGCATTTCATGGCCATTTTCACGCTTAACGTTATTATTTTTAACAAATTTAAATAATTTACTAGAAAACTTTTAAAAATTTATTTTAAAGCTTTCATTTTTTATTTAGTTGTCCCTTTTATAAAAACCTGATTTTTTTTTTTAAAGAATAAAGAATAAAATCCAATTGTTATATTTTTTTTATAATTCAGTTCTTGTAGGATGAATAAAAAAAATGAATAATTTTATTTATTTATTTTGAAAATCTAATAATTAATTGGCTTTGAAAAATTTTTCCGAGTTAACATAATCACTCTATTATTGCGCTCAATATAAAAAATTTAATAATAATAATAATAATAATAATAATGATAATCCTTGTTTTTTTTTTTTTTTTGCTTTAACGCTCTGGGATTTAAATGTCTAATAATAAAGGGAATGACGTATTTAAAAAAATATTTTTTTCAGGAGTTAATCTTTTAATTGGGACTGAAAACGGGTTAATGTTGTTGGATCGCTCAGGTCAAGGAAAAGTTTATCAGTTAATATCAAGAAGAAGATTTCAGCAAATGGAAGTTTTGGAAGGTCAAAATATATTGGTCACAATTTCTGGGAAAAAAAATAGAGTTAGAGTTTATTATTTAAGTTGGCTTAAAAGTAAAATTCTTCGAACGGATGTAAATAATTTTTTTTTAAATATTTTAAATACTTTGAAATTTTTTTTTTTTTTTTAAATAAAACTGAAATATTTAAATAAAAATATTTATTTTATAGCAAGTAGAAAGACGAAACGGTTGGATAAAAGTCGGAGAACTTCAAGGGGCTGTTCATTTCAAAATAGTCAAATATGAAAAAATCAAATTTTTGGTTATAGCTTTAAAAGACATATTGAAATTTATGCTTGGGCCCCGAAACCTTATCATAAATTTATGGCTTTTAAGGTGAAAGAATCATTTTTTTTTTTTTTTTTTAAAATTACTTTTAACGAGTACAGGTTGCTCACTCTATATATTTAAAATTTTTTTACAGACTTTTGGAGAATTAAGTCATAGACCGTTATTGGTCGATCTTACCGTAGAAGAAGGTACCAGACTGAAAGTAGTTTACGGGTCAACCGATGGTTTTCATGCCGTCGATTTGGACAGTGCCACAGTCTACGACATTTATTTAGCCAAACACGTTAGTTTAATAATAATTTTTCTTTTTTTTTATTTTAAAAATGGTCATTTTTATATCTTTTTTTTTTTTTTTTTATAGACCCAGGGACCTATAGCACCTCATTGTATTGTCACATTGCCTAATTCAAATGGTATGCAACTTTTGTTGTGTTACAACAACGAGGGAGTCTACGTTAACACTTACGGAAAGGTAATAATGCTGTTCATTACTAATAATAATAATAATATAATCAGTGGACAAAAAAAATAATGATAATTAAAATGAAAACGTTTTAGGTATCAAAAAATATAATATTACAATGGGGAGAAATGCCTACATCCGTTGCGTATATTGGCACGGGCCAAATAATGGGATGGGGTAATAAAGCTATTGAAATAAGAAGCGTTGAAACTGGGCATTTAGATGGAGTTTTTATGCACAAAAAAGCTCAAAGATTAAAATTTCTTTGCGAAAGAAACGACAAGGTTTGAATTCATTTTATTATTATTATTATTATTCTCACACCTGATGATGATAATAATAAAATAAAAATTATGAATTTTAGGTATTTTTTTCATCGGCGAAAGGTGGATCATCCTGCCAAATTTATTTTATGACGCTCAATAAACCTGGCATGGCTAATTGGTAAACTTTGATTCGTATGAAACCCTCCTCCCCTGCTCCTCCTCCTCCTACAGGATTATTGTTTATCAATAAATATTGCTTTTTTTTTAGTATATATATATATATATATATAAATATACACATATTAAAAAAAAAATTTATTTTAAACGAACGTACGAACAAAAAAAAAAAAAAAAATTTATTACAAAGGTATTATTATTATTATTATTATTCGATTACTTTTTTTTATTAAAAGTAAATAACTCAAAATAAATAAATAAATGAACAAAACGATAAAGCAATAGATAAAAATTGTTTTTATTATTAATTTTTTTTTTTTTATTTTATATTTTATTTTATATTATTATTATTATTACTTGAGTTTAAATATATAAATTAAGCGATATTTTTTTTTCTTCGTTATATTAACAACATTTTTTATTTTTTTTTTATTGATTTAAAAAATAAAATATTAATAAAAATAAATAAATAAAATAAAAAAAAACTTGAATGTTTATTTAAATTTTGTTATTTTCGAGCTGTAAGATGTTCTATTAGTTTTTTTTTTTTAAATGTTTTTTATTAGAATGTAAATTTTAAAATATTATTTAAAAATGTAATTTATATTATTATCACAATTATTATTTAATAACAAAACTTTTTTAATTATTTTTTTTTTCTAGTTTTTCGTCGTCTGAACAATTAATTAATTATAATTTTTTTGTAATTTAATTATTATTAGGTTATTCATATTTTATCCAAAGTCAAATTGAAATTGTTTTATTATTATTATTATTATTATTATTAATGTGCTATTATAAATTTTAAGAAAAAAATTACTTTAAGAATTTTTAATTAATAATAATGATGATAATAATAATAATTATTATTATTTTATATTGTAGTGAAGTCATTCATTAAATTAGAAAAGAATAGAAATAATTTTTTTACCATAAATAAATTAAACTTACAAAAATATCCATTATGTACTGAATGTTTTTATAGGAAAAGTAAAAAAAGCCTTTTTTTATTATTATTATTATTTTTTTTTTTTCATTTATTATTAAATGATGTTTTGTAAAATAAAGAAATTTCGTTTTATTAAACCTAATAATAATAATACTTGATTCTTTCATATAAATATTAATAATAATGA